TAAGACAAAACGCGTAAGTGTCAATTAATTGCATTCCATCGCATGAAATGAATTAATGAATTGGCATGAGCAGTGTGCCATATGCAATAATTAATGAATCCCAAAACTCTCATCCGATCATACAAATACTGTCAAATTAGCACTAGTGTCAACATCGAATTCTCACACCATCCATCGAATCGTTATTTATTTATTTATCTGTCTAAATCCGTCACATTTCGCTCACTTTCGCTGATATCTCTAAGATGTTTGAATAATCACAATCGCTATGACTAGTGAGGATATGCCTAGTGAAGATATGAATAACTAGTGAAGAAGATATGAATAACTGAATCAACTACAGCTTCCAAGCCTTTTTCCCGAAACCATTTTTTCGCTTATGCAATGACAACAAGCTCAGTCACGCTCTGAACAGTCTTCTCCTTATGATCTGTAGACAACATTCAGTGATCTTTCTGGTGCATCTGCGCTTAAAAAGTCAATCTCCTTCCAATTCCATAAAAAACCCCTCATTATCATCACAAATTCGAGTATTCATTAATAGATCTCAATTTGATGAGATATTCATGCGTACACTTTCATTATATTCGCATTATAAACACAACAACAGTTTTATTGCTTGATTAATATATTTTTCATAATGAGAGTTTATTGCCATGAGTGCGTGAGTAGGAACGGATAATGAAGTTTAGGCTGAGTGATGATGAGTAGTCATCTGATGGGAATTGCAACCGCATTCACAATTGACTAGTTATACTCTTTTAATTTGCATGCGATAATGTCTCATTGGGAGTTAGTTGATGGTTTCATTGCATGACGGCGACTAATTTTATCAGAATTAATGACTACTTGAATATGAAATTTTCGCAGATAAGTTAAACGGATGAAGAGAACAATTTAACATTTCGAATTTTCCAAAAAAAAGTGTAATTTGCGGTTTATATTTTCTTGATCGAGTTTTTACGATGTGACAGACTCGCCATGAAACAGTCAAATGAGTTACATCAGTGATTCTTGTCTTCCAACAGGGAATATTCTCATTTGGAAAATGGACCTCCAGTGGTTTTCGTGTTTTTTTTTTGGAGTAGTAAATTGTTGAGAAAGGCATATTTTGAGTGGAGATAATTTGCAGGATCCGTGGTACGTAACAGTACTGGACCGTCGATTGTGGTTTCGTTCGCGCTAGCTGGAATCGCTTCGTTGCTATCAGCGCTTTGCTATGCGGAGTTTGGAGCGAGGTTAGTTAGTTAAGATGCGAAAAAGTTTTGATCAAATAAGTTAAATGATATCAGATGGATAGATGCGAAATCAAGATTACCTGGATTGGCCAGGCTATCAAACGTTTATAATGTTGCTGGCCACAATGCTCGCAATGTTTCCGTGCGCATTGTTTTAGCCTCAATTTACGCCACCCCGCTGGCTAGGCGAGCAGGCCAACCGAATACAACCGAGTAAATAATTAGTCGCCCCAGTCGAAGTCAAGATAGTATCGTTGAAATGAGAGATGAAACTTCGGACAACAATTATTAAGTGGAATTTAGATTCCCGAAAGCTGGAAGTGCTTACACGTATGCGTATATTGGAGTGGGAGAGCTATGGGCGTTCACAATCGGATGGAATATCATTCTGGAGCATATGCTGGGAGCCGCTGGTTTCTAAATCGTTGTTTTACTTTTTGAATTAGAATATTATCAGTTTGTTGAGAATTTTATAGCTTTACAATAGAAATTGAACAGATAACATAGGAAATTGATCGAATTCCCTTCGGAATTTTCCATTTTGCGCAGAGTAATTATGTGAAATTGAAATACTATTATTTCTCAAGAGATCGACGAATGAAATTGCAGCTGTGGCACGATCGTGGTCTGGCTATTTGGATTCGTTGTTGGGAAATGCGATGAGAAATTCAACCTTCATCAATATGGCACATTTTGATGCAAGAACTATTATTTGCTTAAATTTGCATGGCAAATGAAAATTACAATCAAAATTCTTATCGATCTGATCAATTGCTCACAGTTTCACTTTTTTGTTATCCATCAATTTTTTGATCTACTCATTGCCCGCGATGATCTACACGGTCTCGATCTTCCACAGACATCGAATTTGCATGAAGAGACAAAC